TTTTAAAGTAGCGATCGCAGTCTTCGGTAACATATGTTTTCTCACCACAGTGAGCACAAGTAATAGTATTTGTTGCATTAAATTACCCCATGACCAAACTGTTGGCATTTAAAACACCTCAGTGGGTTTGGGATATATTGTTCAACTGCAATACTTCAATAACCTGCTTTAATAGTTCTTGGTGGAACGGAGAGACGAAAAAAAACAAGTAAGTGTTCGTTTGAATTATTTCTGAGTTTCGAAGCTGAGTAAAGGTTTCACAAGTGTCACACCTTGATCTTTTAACTCACAAACGATGTCGAGCTCGGACATATTATCTAGGGTGTGATCACGGTTCTTTACGATGCCTTTGCTTGAATTAAAGGACATGTGGACAGATACTGAAACATGGAGTCGAGTTCGAAAGCCTTCATTAACACCATGATCATTGTCAAGTTGACGGGTTTTTTCAAGGGGGATTCAAGAGCCATGTTGAAGTATAAAAGATTCATCACCCCAGCTCCCCGCCCACCAATGAGTATCATAAAGACAATGCTATATACAAGCGGATCTCTGACTTGCAGCACCAACGATACTTGGGTAATGTACTCCAGCAGAAAAAATTAGATTAATTAATCTACCAGATTTGCCCATGAGCCATCGCCTTCTGGCACCGGCATCTAGGCAAATTTTCTCAAATTTTACAATCCATGTATCGTATCATATAGATACAAAACAGAACATGTCAATATTGTGTTCAAATGTAACCAAGCCAACCGGGCCCATTCAACCACCCGTCTAGGTGAAGTAAGGGGCGAAGTGGTGTGTAGGGCAAAGAAACACTATTCCTGGAACCAGTACCCTCAACCACCAGACTCCCGTCCTCCACCGACACAGGGGCGCAACCCACGGCAAACAGGTTGCCCAATGCGGTCTTACGACCAGCAATGGGGTGCTGTGGACCAAATATACCCCGGGTCCACACACGGGGTTGAAGAGCTCCTAACGTTACCCAGCACCCACCACGATCCGGGGGCATAGTTGGTCCACAGCACCCCATTGCTGGTCGTAAGACCGAATTGGGCAACCCGTTTGCCGTGGGTTGCGCCCCTGTGTCGGTGGAGGACAGGAGTCTGGTGGTTCAGGGCACTGGTTCCAGGAACAGCGTTCCTTTGCCCACACACCACTTCGCCCCTTACTTCACCTAGCTTGTCGTCGACCAAAAACGTGCGGGATAGATCCCCAATAAATCCCCTCAAAAGATAGGTTATCCGAATTATATAATACAGTGGAATTGCAGAGGACTTAGGACTAATTTCAATGAATTGCAGCTCTTAGTCCAGGATTTTAGTCATCAGCAATCTGTCTGCAGGAGACATTTTAAAACAGACCGATACTTTTGAACTACGCCATTTCAGTGCACATCATTATTTTCCACCCCCAGGTGATACGGCTACTGGATGATCTTCGATCCTTATCAAACAGACAGTTATCCATAGCCCTGTTTCACTTAATACTAATCTCCAGGCTGTTGCCGTTCGACTCACTCTACATTTTGCGCTCACATTATGCTCTTTGCATATCTCACCGTCTTCAAGTCTTCAGAAAACTAAACTTCAAAACCTATATGACCAACTCCCGAAGCCCTGTATTATTATGGGGGATTTAAATGGCCACAACCTACTTTGGGGTGGTACAATTACTAATGATAATGGTAAACTATTGGAAGAGATCTGTTCAGATAAACTTATTTATGTATGTATAATAACAGTTCCAACACATATTTACATTCTGGCACAGGAAATATTCAGCTCTTGATTTATCAATTACAGACTCCTTTTGAATGAATTTGAATCGTCAGTCCACAATAACCTCTGTGGAAGTGATCATTTTCTAACAGTATTACAGCCTGTGAACCCATCTGATATTTCCCATTCTCAAGATGGAATTTTAAAAAAGCTAACTGGCATTTATATCAAACTCTGTGTTGTAACAGACTTAAACCTGAACTTTTTATAGATGTTCCTGATGCGATAAAGGATTTTTCTGATGAACTCAAAAATATAGCTGATGAATGTGTCCCCAAATCCTCTGCAATTTCACACATCCACAAATGATGGTTCAACAATGAGTGCAAACAGGCTAGAAAGGCACGCAAGAAGGCTGAGCATTATTTCCGTCGACATCCTATGGTCCATAATTTGAATACATTTAAAATTTTAAATGCTAAGGCACGACATACTTTCAAGCAAAGTAAACGTCAATCCTGGTGAAATTATGTGTCAAAAATAAATTCACGAACGCCGATATCAAAGGTATGGAACATGATCCAAAAAATATAAGGTAAAGGCACTCAATCTAGCATTAAGCATCTTAAAGACGGAGACGAATTCCTAACTAGTAAATCCGATATAGCAAGTAAACTTGGAGAAACTCTGGCCAAACATTCTTCCTCGTCGAATTATGTACCTCAATTCCAAAAATATAAAACACGACAGGAAAAGAAAACTATTAATTTCAATTCAGATAATGGGGAAGACTACAATGAAATATTTTCTATTCATGAGCTTCGTACTGCTCTTGACCAAGCTCATGATACTGCTACAGGGGCTGATAACATACATTATCGGAATCGTGTTTAGAGACCCTCTTAAACATTTTTGATGATATTTGGACGTCTGGACAATTTCTTTCTTCATGGCGCGATGCTATTATTGTACCCATCCCTAAACCTGGACGTGATCATACTAATTCTGATACTGATAATTACTGACCGATCTCACTAACTAGCTGCGTTTGCAAGACCATGGTACGCATGATAAATAATCGAATTGTGTTGTACTTGGAAAATTCATAACCTTATAACAGATATTCAATGTTGTTTCCGTAAAAACAGAAGTACCAGTCTGCATTTAGAATCTTTTGTAAAAAAATGTCATTATTCAAAAACAACATGCTGTGTCGATCTTTTTCGATTTAGAAAAAGCATATGACACGACATGGATACATGGTATTTTAAGAGATTTACACGATTTTGGATTGAGAGGCCGTTTGCCTCAATTTATATCCAACTTTTTAACTGACAGGCAATTTCAAGTCCACGTGGGTTCTACCATGTCTGATCATTACAATCAGGATCAGGGTGTCCCACAAGGCAGTATTTTGTCTGTCAATCTATTTAGTATTAAAATAAATAGTCTTTCAAAGGTTTTAAGTTATTCAATCGATGGATCCCTTTTTGTGGATGATCTTAATATTTCTTGCTGTGGTAAAAATTTGCGAACTATTGAGAGACAATTACAAATTTGTCTCAACAAAATTAATAGATGGTGTATGGAAAACGGGTTTAAATATTCAAAATCCTAAACCAATTGTATATATTTTTGTAAGAAATATACACCCCATAAGACCCTGAACTATCATTAAAAACACACCCAAATTACTTGATTCTATCCATCACCAGGTTCTAAGACCCTCTCTTTTAGAACTACTCCTGTTGACAGTCTTAACGTCGAGGCCGATGAGCCATCTCTTAACCAACGCCGTATAAGACTATCCCTACAGTATGTAACAAAACTATATTCTAACGAGTCTAACCCTGCGTTCAGCTATGTTTTCAGCTCTCTATATGAGGATCTATACAACAAAAAGTCTTCTCTTTTTCTGCCTCTGGGACTAAGAGTCAAACCTTTCATTTTCGCTGCTGGCATTGGGCTAGAAAATATAGCTCCTTCCCGTCTTCTTTTTTCTCCTCCTTGGCATTTGGCGGGGGCCACAAGTTGACCTAACACTGACAAAGTTTAAAAAATCAGAAACTAATGAATTACAATATAAACAAGAATATAATCATTTAAAAAGTACATTTAATACATACAAATCCTTTTTACAGATGGGTCAAAGGATGGCTGCGCAGTGGCTTGTGCCACCGTCATTGGATCTAGATTACCAGGCGATAGTTCTATTTTCTCAGCAGAAGCAAAAGCCATATTAACAGCGCTTAAATATATATATATATATAAATATATATTCTTGCAAACATCCACTTTTAATTGAAATTATTGAATTAGATAATGATCTTGCTACTGTTGGTTACCCAGCCACGTTGTCATATCTGGTAACACAATGGCCGATCTTGCTGCCAAGGCAGCACTCAACAAATCTGTGACACCACTTCTCATCCCATACTCTGATTACAAAGCTGTCATTAGAACTTATATCCGTGATCTGATGCAGAAGAAGTGGGACACCCAAGTAGGTGTAAATACATTACATGAAATAATACCCTATCTTGGTTATACCTGCTTGTGTTGTCAGTCCAGATTTGACGATGTCGTATTGGCCAAACAAGATATACTCATGAGTACCTATTGACAGGTGAGGATCCTCCGTTTTACATCCTTTGTGAAGAAAGACTCACAGTCAAGCATGTCTTGCTTGACTGTGTAGAATATTCCATCACATGGGATAACTATTTCAAATCACGAACTATGACGGATCTTTTAAGTAATATCAGTTCTCATTTAATTATTGCATTTTAAAAGAATTAAATTTGTTAAATGATATGTAAATAGGTAAGTATTTTATCATTGGAAGTTTGACTTAATAACTCAGACTGTTAGTGGCTGTATCCTCGAGGGGGGTTAAAGTACTGTAAAATTATTGTCCTCCTGAGAGGGTACGTAAGTCCCAAAACATTCCCAGTAAATTAAAACTCCACTTTTAATCGTAGAATATATGTAATTGTACTATATGGCTAGATTTGTCTCAATTGCTAACAGCTGACGGGATGATGTAAATCCAGCAAGGGCCCATGCAGGAAGCAAATGTACTGTAAGTTCCCATGGTCCCTAGTCAAGTGATCTACCTACAGTTGTTGGCGAAATAGCCTGATTTTATATTGTATTGTCATCTATAGTTAAACTGTTTCAGATCTAATTACTAGTTTTAAATTCGAATCTGTGATAATCTAGTTATTTTACTGTCCTTCTTTGACAGGTTTTTACAATTTACCATTAACTACTATGTATAAAATTAATTGTTCTCGTCACGATATGGCTGAAATATTGCCGATGTGATGATAAAGTTTAACTCACTCACTCACTCACTCCTCAGTAAGCACAAAGTGTGTCTCCTTCCAGTATGTGCAGGTTGTAGAATCTGTCTGCAGTACAACAGTCCGATGCTGGCAAGGAAAGGAGCGTGGGATCTGTTTAGAATGATGTATCTATGACTTAGTCAACAGTTGGGGGTAGGTATTGACCACTTGCATAGCCCACATCATCGACGGTGGCATATCCGTAGTCAGAGGCTGCGCTGCCCGGGGCGTATACGGCGCCAAGGTAACCAACAGGTGGCTGTCTGTTCTGACAGTGATGTCTCCGCAGACATACGATGACAGCGAGGACGTTGATGACGATAACGACGACACCTACAGTTCCAGCAATGATAACTGTGGAGCGGCAATGTTCCTCTGAAAAAAACCCATCTGTCTACAGAATTGGTTACAATATATTCCAGGTGTGGGAGATCCTGTGCTCCCAATAGAGTATTACTGTTCACCGATTTGCAAACACCTGCGGTCATCACTGAGTTTCAGTGATCCACTCAAATAACCCCATCGTTATTTTACATTGTACACTTAAGGAGGATGTTTTAACGTATAGTCGAGTCCCACTTCAAACGGTTCATAAACGTGAAGATCCGGGTTAGAATATTGATCTTCAGTAACCCATGCTTGTCGTAAGAGGCGACTAACGGGGTTGGGTGGTCAGGTTCGCTGACTTGGATGACACGCGTCATACGCTACCAATTGCGTAGATCGATGTTCATGCTGTTGATCACTTGATTGTCTGGTCCAGACTCGATTATTTACAGACCGCCGCCAGTTAGCTGGAATATTGCTGAGTGCAGCATGCAACTAACCTCACTCACTCACTCACTCACTCAAACGGTTCATACAGTGAAATGTATATAAGGAATATTTGTATTTACACCCTAGCGCACGTCACATCACGTCAAGTCATATTACGACACTGCATTACTTTCCTCTTGTGATAGATCCACTCAAATAACTCCCATCATTATTTTATATTGTACACCCGATGGAGGATGCTTTAACGTATAATCGAGCCTGATTATCCAGGGGTGGAAATAACCCATTGGACGACGCCCCATTCCAGTGGGTTTTTTTGTTTTTTCTGTCGGGCAAGCAAATTTGTTTGTCACACTGTACCGGTGTCCAGTTCATTTCCATTGTTAATTATGTTTTTTATCTATAAAAATCAACAAGAAAATCGGCCAGTATAGTGGACATATTATCAGGGCAAATGATTTTACATGTGCCACTGTACCGGAGTACACCAGCAATTTTAAAGTTATTTCCACCCCTGTTATCTTGTATGTTTCATGTTCAGTCACCATCAAACATGGATGATACATTTTATTAGGCAGTCGATGGACAGTGACATACCTTTACCACCTGTACTGTCGTCATCAAAGGTATATACCAGCCCTGAAATGTAAGCAGGAAACAGCAGGGGTAGAACGTGATTAAGGAAATATGAGAACAGGTAAAAAGGGCCAAAGAACAAAAAGGACAAAATTGAAAAGATCAAAAGGGACAAAGAACTGAGCCCTGCTGCACTCCTGAACTTGTGTTCACGGATCTATGGCCCCACCGCGTGAGTGGAATGATTCATGTGCATGGGGATGTGTGGAGTGATGATGTCTGTAGTGAACTTTCAAAATGTGTGAATTATGAAGAGTTGAACCACTTATGAATATCTGATCACATATCAACACTCGAATGTATGATGATCGCACTATATATCATTACTGTTGTTACTATACTAGCCACATAAAGAAACTGTGCATTGTCAAAATATTATCCCAGTTGATAAGTACGATAACAATGTCAAAGGTACATATAAAATTTAATGGAGGGATCATGAGACCATAACGGGTCGGGAGAATTTCAATTCAATTGTCACAAGCGGGACAGGGGTCAAACGACCATGTCACAAGCTCAATAACGGGTATGTCCACCATCGGCATTCAGAACAACAGTGCATCGACGACGCATAGAGCCTATCAAAGGTGCAAGGAAGGCGTGTGGGATGTTACGCCAGATTCTCTCAAGTTATGTTGCAAGGTCAAGGACGTTATTTGGCGGATGAGGAAGACGGCGTATACGTCGATCCATCTCGTCTCAAACATGCTCTATCGGGGAGAGATCCGGTGAATTTGCAGGCCAAGGCAGTAAGTCAACGTTGAGGTGTTGCAAGAAATCCATAGCAACCCTTGCCGTATGAGGGCGGGCATTCGCCAGTTGGAATGATAACCCAGGGCCATGACGTCACCCTTATCCATCTGCCCTGCCTTGGCGATGTTACACGTGGACGTCGAGAACGTGGCCGATCGATGACGTCATTTGTGTTCTGGTAGCGTCTCACCAGTGCAGAAATGGTGTTCCGGTGGCAGTGGAAATGTGCAGCCACTTGTCGTTGAGACATCCCACCACGGACCATCCCAATGGCCTCATGACGTTGTGCAGACGTGAGCCTTGGCATGCTATGCGTTTCATTAGCCGTTTTTTGAACGATCGCAAGGGCAGGGGTTGAGCTTTCCAAAGTGACAGTATTGTGTGGCATTCATTTGCTCTGTTTCTCTTTCCCGGAATGCACGTGCAACAACGTATTGCACGTCTCAAGGACGAACCCACTGACGTCACGGAACGTGGCACGTGCATGCATGCTGGATACATGTCACTAATTTCTGAGTTTGAATCCTTATATGTCTACACAGGTTTGATAAATTTAGATTTTAAATTTTTGTATCCACAGTTTCTTTATGTGCCTAGTATACATATTGATATAAATATGATAAAACAGTATGTTCTTTTTTAATTTGATTTACGGCCCTTTTCACTTAAGTCTATGGCCCTTTTCACCTTTCTTTGACCCTTTTGACTTTTCTTTGGCCCTTTTAAATTTTTAAATTTTTGTCCTTTTGTCCTTTGGCCCTTTTGACTATAATCAGGGGGGGAATATAAATAATGTCGGCAATACATGAAACAGCATACCAGGAGAGTTGAACTGTTTCATATCATTTGGTATCTAAGAGCAAAGTAGGAAGGACTGTCATGCATTTTCTATTGACATGAACTGGGATCGCACATTAACTGCTGTATCAAAGGACTGTTACAATAACAGGTCTCTACCGAAACTACTCACTGTCTCTACAGTTTCACACCAACTGTCCAACGATAATGACGTGCCTATAAATGACGTCACGTAACGCCAATGTATTGACGTCTTAGTCATTAACTTTGGCTCAGTGAACTCAAACTAACTGATTCCGTAAGCATAGAGTGTAAACGTTTTTCTTATCATTGAATATATTATCTTGTCTCACATCATGTCAAAATATGCCGCCACATCATATCGCATCACACCATATCAGGTCAAATTACATTTCACTGCCATATCACGTCGGTTCATGTCACATAACAATCCACACCACGTCATCATGAATCCATCCTTATCCCATCACACCTCGTTGACATCAACCCATCAAAACCATTTATAATAAGTAATAGTCTCATTTCGAACAATTCATGCACTAAGGAAATCTTGCAACGCGACATCACGTCAGGTCATATTACTGCAAGGTATTAATTTCGGCGAGGGGCGGTGGGGTAGCCCTGTGGTTAAAACGTTCGGTCATCACGCCGAAGACCCGCTTTGGATTCCAACATGGGTACATTTATGGTGTTCCCCGCCGTGATATTGCTGGAATATTGCTACTTTCTCCGACAGACTGATGACAAGTAACATCACGTTCTTTCAGCTTTCGTTACCATCATCACTTTACATCGCTTCATGCCAAGCCACGTGATGCCATGTGTCATCATTCTACCATCTTATCCAATATCAGCAACAATGAATTGAACCTGTGTTCAACATTCAAATTGTATTACACTCACTCAGTTGTTGAATCCCTTCACATGATAACGCTTGGCTGTATCCTCTACAGATGAAGACCAGTTTCACTTCCCCGAGGTGAGACTCAGTCAGAGTGAATATGACATCTGTGTTCTCCTTCCATTGTGAGTAGTTCAAACCCGTTTGAATGTTTCCTGTTTGCAACTGAAACTGGGCCGACTCAGAACAGTAGTCTCCAGTTACGTTAACCTTCAACGCCACTTCCTCGTCCCTGGTGAAGTCACTGTCATCATACTGCCTTCTTGTTATAGTGCATGTTGGGAATTCTGAAACAAATCAAGTCAGTTAGTAAATATTTCTCGCCAGCCGTAAAGATTGCAGTTGAGGTACACATGGCTGATTCATTAGCCTACAGGTTCAAGTTAAGGTGCGGTGAAATAGGTACTGTATGTGTAAAGTGACTTGCATGTAGGTGTCTGTGTGGCTCTTGGTTCTATAATTCAACCATATCTCATTACATCACGTCACCATCAACACATCCATATCTCATCACACCAAGTGTACATCATCAGATCCATATCCTATCACACCACGTCACCATCAACACATCCATATCCCCTCACACCACGTTGACATCAACACATCAATATCCCACCACACCACGTTGACATCCACACATCCATATCCCATCACACCACGTTGACATCAACACATCAATATCCCACCACACCACGTTGACATCCACACATCCATATCCCACCAGACCACATCAACACGAACCCATCCATATTCCACCACACCACGTCAACACGAAACCATCCATATCCCACCACACCACGTCAACACGCACCCATCCGTATCCCATCACGCCACGTCAACACGAACCAATCCATATCCGATCACACAAAGTCAACACGACCACATCAATATCCCATCACACCACGTCAACATCAACCCATCCATATCCCATCACACCACGTTGACATCCACACATCAATATTCCATCACACCTCGTTGACATCAACACACCATGTGTACATCCACATATCCATACCCTATCACACCACGTCACCATCAACACATCCATATCCCACCACACCATGTTGACATCCACACATCCATATCCCACCACACCATGTTGACATCCACACATCCATATCCCACCACACCATGTTGACATCCACACATCAATGTCCCACCATACCACGTCACCATCAACACATCCACATCCCATCACACCACGTCTACATCAACACATCCATATCCAATCACACCACGTCAACATCAACCCATCAACCCATCAAAACATCAACCCATCCATATCCCACCACACAATGTTAAACCTGGACTGATCTGTAAAAACAACATTTCTCCACCAAAACAACGGTCTACGGACATGATTTCGGCACCACATTCGGCGAGCTTGTCGATGACGTTGTGTCAGGATAGGCCGTATGGCGGGACGTCGTTGTCTGATCCTGTGATGACGTAAACGTTGTCGAACTGTGTTTGGGTGGATACGGCGAAGTCCTGGGATGGTTCGGGCAGTCATCACTGCAGTCTGAAACCTGTGGCGAAGATGGGTCAACCTTATCCATATGTCCTGTCTTGGCGTTGTTAGACGTGGACGTCCAGAACGTGGCCGATCGATGACGTCATTTGTGTTCTGATAGCGTCTCGACAGTGCAGAGATGGTTTTCCGGTGGCAGTGGAAATGTGCAGCCACTTGTCGTTGAGACATCCCACCACGGACCATCCCAATGGCCTCATGACGTTGTGCAGACGTGAGCCTTGGCATGCTATGCGTTTCATTAGCCGTTAAATTTTTTGAACGATCGCAAGGGCAGGGGTTGAGCTTTCCAAAGTGACAGTATTGTGTGGCATTCATTTGCTCTGTTTCTCTTTCCCGGAATGCACGTGCAACAACGTATTGCACGTCTCAAGGACGAACCCACTGACGTCACGGAACGTGGCACGTGCATGCATGTTGGATACATGTCACTAATTTCTGAGTTTGAATCCTTATGTGTCTACACAGGTTTGATAAATTTAGATTTTAAATTTTTGTATCCACAGTTTCTTTATGTGCCTAGTATACATATTGATAAAAAAATATGATAAAACAGTATGTTCTTTTTGGAATTTGATCTACGGCCCTTTTCACCTAAATCTATGGCCCTTTTGACCTTTCTTTGACCCTTTTGACTTTTCTTTGGCCCTTTTAACTTTTTTAATTTTTGCCCTTTTGTCTTTTGGCCATTTTGACTATAATCAGGGGGGGAATATAAATAATGTCGGCAATACATGAAACAGCATACCAGGAGAGTTGAACTGTTTCATATCATTTCTTACCGTCTCTAAGGGTATCTAAGAGCAAAGTAGGAAGGACTGTCATGCATTTTCTATTGATATGAACTGGGATCGCACATTAACTGCTGTATCAAAGGACTGTTACAATTACAGGCCTATACCGAAACTAGTCACTGTCTCTACAATTTCACACCAACTGTCCAACGATAATGACGTGCCTATAAATGACGTCACGTAACGCCAATGTATTGACGTCTTAGTCATTAACTTTGGCTCAGTGAACTCAAACTAACTGATTCCGTAAGCATAGAGTGTAAACGTTTTTCTTATCATTGAATATATTATCTTGTCTCACATCACGTTAAAATATGCCGCCACATCATATCGCATCACACCATGTCAGGTCAAATTACATTTCACTGCCATATCACGTCGGTTCATGTCACATAACAATCCACACCACGTCGTCATGAATCCATCCTTATGCCATCACACCTCGTTACATCAACCCATCAAAACCATTTATAATAAGTAACAGTCTCATTTTGAACAATTCATACCCTGACACTTATATAAGCAAATCTTGCAACGTCACATCACGTCAGGTCATATTACTGCAAGGTATTACTTTCAGCGAGGGGCAGTGGTGTAGCCCTGTGGTTAAAACGTTCACTCATCACGCCGAAGACCCGCTTTGGATTCCAACATGGGTACAATGTGTGAAACCCATTTATGGTGTTCCCCGCCGTGATATTGCTGGAATATTGCTACTTTCTCCGACAGACTGATGACAAGTAACATCACGTTCTTTCAGCTTTCGTTACCATCATCACCTTACATCGCTTCATGCCAAGCCACGTGATGCCATGTGTCATCATTCTACCATCTTATCCAATATCAGCAACAATGAATTGAACCTGTGTTCAACATTCAAATTGTATTACACTCACTCAGTTGTTGAATCCCTTCACATGATAACGCTTGGCTGTATCCTCTACAGATGAAGACCAGTTTCACTTCCCCGAGGTGAGACTCAGTCAGAGTGAATATGACATCTGTGTTCTCCTTCCATTGTGAGTAGTTCAAACCCGTTTGAATGTTTCCTGTTTGCAACTGAAACTGGGCCGACTCAGAACAGTAGTCTCCAGTTACGTTAACCTTCAACGCCACTTCCTCGTCCCTGGTGAAGTCACTGTCATCATATTGCCTTCTTGTTATAGTGCATGTTGGGAATTCTGAAACAAATCAAGTCAGTTAGTAAATATTTCTCGCCAGCCCTAAAGATTGCAGTTGAGGTACACATGGCTGATTCATTTGCTTACAGGTTCAAGTTAAGGTGCTGTGAAATAGGTACTGTATGTGTAAAGTGACCTGCATGGTGTCTGTGTGGCTCTTGGTTCTATTATTCAACCCTTTCAAATCACACCACGTCACCATCAACACATCCATATCCCACCACACACCACGTTGCCATCAACACATCCATATACCACCACACGACATCAACACGAACCCATCCATATTCCATCACACCACGTCAACACGAAACCATCCATATCCCATCACACCTAGTCAACACGAACCCATCCATATCCCATCACACCACGTTGACATTAACCCATCCATATCCCACCACACCACGTCAACACGAACCCATCATATCCCACCACGCCACGTCAACACGAACCCATCCATATCCCATCACACCACGTCAACACGACCACATCCATATCCCATCACACCACGATGACATCCACCCATCAATATCCCCTCACACCTCGTTGACATCAACACACCATGTGTACATCTACAGATCCATATCCTATCACACCACGTCTACATCAACACATCCATATCCCATCACACCACGTCACCATCAACACACCCATATCCCTTCACACCTCGTCAACACGAACCCATCCATATCCCATCACACCACGTTGACATCAACCCATCAATATCCCCTCACACCACGATGACATCAACACATCCATATCAAATCACACCACGTCACCATCAACCATTCCATATCCCACCACACCACGTCAACAAGAACCCATCATATCCAATCACGCCACGTCAACACGAACCCATCCATATCTCATCACACCACGTCAACACGACCACATCCATATCCCATCACACCACGATGACATCAACCCATCAATATCCCCTCACACCTCGTTGACATCAACACACCATGTGTACATCTACAGATCCATATCCTATCACACCACGTCTTCATCAACACATCCATATCCCATCACACCACGTCACCATCAACACATCCATATCCCTTCACACCTCGTCAACACGAACCCATCCATATCCCGTCACACCACGTCAACACGACCACATCCATATCCCATCACACCACGTTGACATCAACCCATCAATATCCCCTCACACCACGATGACATCCACCCATCCATATCCCCTCACACCACGTTGACATCAACACATCCATATCCCATCACACCTCGTTGACATCCACCGATCAATATCCTCTCACACCTCTTTGACATCAACACACCATGTGTGCATCTACAGATCCATATCCTATCACACCACGTCACCATCAACACATCCATATCCCACCACACCATGTTGACATCAACACATCCATATCCCATCACACAACGTCACCATCAACCATTCCATATCCCACCACACCACGTCAACACGAACCCATCCATATCTCATCACACCACGTCAACACGACCACATCCATATCCCATCACACCACGATGACATCAACCCATCAATATCCCCTCACACCTCGTTGACATCAACACACCATGTGTACATCTACAGATCCATATCCTTTCACACCACGTCTTCATCAACACATCCATATCCCATCACACCACGTCACCATCAACCATTCCATATCCTTCCACACCACGTCAACTAGAACCCATCATATCCAATCACGCCACGTCAACACGAACCCATCAATATCTCATCACACCACGTCAACACGACCACATCCATATCCCATCACACCACTATGACATCAACCCATCAATATCCCCTCACACTTCGTTGACATCAACACACCATGTGTACATCTACAGATCCATATCCTATCACACAATGTCACTATCAACATATCCTATATCCCACTGCACATATGTTGACATCCAGCACATCCATATCCCATCACAAGTTTCGCTACCATCATTATATCCATATCCTATCACTTTCGTGTCGATATGAAATATCCATATCCCCATCACACCATCAGTCTGTAACCCATCCATATCCGATCACACCTACGTCACTATCAACACATCCATATCCTCACAACGATGACATCCACTCTATCCATATCTCACACAACCATGACATCCACTCCATCTATATACCTCACAAAACGATGACATCCACCCATCCATATCCCCTCACACCACGTTGACATCAACACATCCATATCCCATCACACCTCGTTGACATCCACCGATCAATATCCCCTCACACCTCGTTGACATCAACACACCATGTGTACATCTACAGATCCATATCCTATCACACCACGTCACCATCAACACATCCATATCCCATCACACCACGATGACATCCACCATCCATATCCTCACTTCGCTGATGACATCCACCATCCATATACCTCACAAAACGATGACATCCACTCCATCCATATCCTCACACCACGTTGGATATCAACACATCCATATCCTCACACCTCGTTGGATATCCACTGATCAATATCCTCACACCTCGTTGACATCAACACACCATGTGTACATCTACAGATCCATATCCTATCACACCACGTCACCATCAACACATCCATATCCCATCACACGACGTAACCATCAACACATCTATATCCCATCGCCTCGTGTCCACATGTAAACATCAATATCCCATCACACCTCGTCACCATCACCATCCATATCCATCACTCTCGTGACGACATGAAACATGCATATCCATCACACCCTGCTCACATCAACACATTCATATCCCACCACACCATGTTGACATCCACACATCCATATCCTATCACACTCTACCATCAACACATCCATAGTCCACCACGTGTCGACATGAAAACATCCATATCCCATCACACCTCCTGTTGACATCAACCCATCTATATCCACCTACGTCACTTATCAACACATCCATATCCTATCGCACCACGTTGATATCAACACATCCATATCCCCTCACACCACGATGATCCATCCACCCATCCATTACTCTCACATCCATATGATATTAACACATCCATGTGTATCATCAACAGATCCATATCCTAATACACCACGTTAATATCCACACATCCATATCTCACACCACGTTGACATCAATATATCCATATCCCATCATCACCACGCGTTGATATCAACTCCATCCATATTCTCACACCTCAAGTTGACATCAACACACCATGTCTACATCAATACATCCATATCTCAACACACCCTGGGATCACACCACGTTCACATCAACATCCATATCCTATCACACTACGTCATATGTCCATCCATATCCATATCCATGCCTAGATACCAAACATATCCATTTATCCATATCCTATCCATACCTGTCAACATCAATCCATCTATCATCTCCACCTCTTAAATCCCCACCTAGTTGGATACATCAACATCCATCCATTATCCCTATCACACCATGCCTAGATCTCGAACACATCCATATCCTATCACACCAATACCTAGATGCCCCAATCATCAACACATCCATATCCTATGTCCTCCAGAGGATTCCATGTCCACTCTCCATATCCCAACCTTATCCGTTGACATCAACACATCCTATATCCCATCACCATGGGATTCAACATCAACCCATCCATATCCTATCACAAATATGCCTAGATGAACACATCCATATCCAATCTCACCTCGTCAACATTCCTCAACACATCCATATCCTGTCCCACACCACTGTTCGGACATCAACACATCATTATCCTATCACACCACGTCAACATCAACCCATCCATATCCTATCACAACATGCCTAGATGAATGCACATCCATATATCCCATCCCATCTCACCTCGTCATCTATGGATCCCATCTCACCTCCATGTCATATCCATATTCCTCACCTCGTTGACATCAACACATCCATATCCCATCTCTCACCTCGTCAACATCAACACATCCATATCATCACAACGTACCTAGTTGATATCAACATCCATCCATATCACACCGTCTCGTCCTCGTCAACATCAACACGTCCATATCCCACATTCATACCACCTACCTCGTTGACATCAACACATCCATATCCCATCACACCACGTCAACATCAACCATCCATATCCATCACATGCCTCGTCAACATCCATATCCCATCCATATCCCATCTCAACACGTCCATATCCCATCAACTCATCCATATCCCATCATATCCTATCCACCACGATTCATCGTGAAACCATCCATATCACATCACAGCATGTCATCATCCATATCCCATCTCATTTCGTCAACTCGTCATATCCCCCCCACCTCGTTGACATCCATATCCATATCCCATCACACCGTTCAACATCAACCCATCCATATCCCATCACACCACGTCCTAGATGAACACATCCATATCCCATCTCACCTCGTCAACATCAACACATATCCATATCCTCACCTCGTCAACATCAACAACCATCCATATATCCCAAACATCCATATCCCATCATGCCTAGATGTAGAACACTCATATCCCATCACACCTCGTCAATCAACACATCCATCACCTCAAGTTGACATAACACATCCATCCATCACACCACGTCAATATCAAGTCCATCCATATACTATCACACCATGCCTAGATGAACACACATCCCATCTCACCTTCGTCAACTCCTAACACACATCCATCACATCAACACCATATCCTATCACGTCAACATCGAAACCATCCATCACATCACAGCATGTCATCAACATCCATATCCCTAGATCAACATCAACCCATCCACATCCATATCATCAATCTCACCTCGTCACACATCAACACATCCATATCATCTCAACTCGTCCATATCCCCACCCACCTCGTTGACATCAACACATCAATATCCCATCACATCACGTCAACATCAACCCATCCATATCCCATCACAACATGCCTAGATGAACACATCCATATCCCATCTCAACTCGTCAACATCAACACATCCATATCCCAACCCACCTCGTTGACATCAACACATCCATATCCCATCTCACCTCGTTAACATCAACACATCCATATCCAAACCCACCTCGTTGACATCAACACATCCATATCCCATCTCAACTCGTCAACATCAACACATCCATATCCTAACCCACCTCGTTGACATCAACACATCCATATCCCAACCCACCTAGTTGACATCAACACATCCATATCCCATCACACCATGCCTAGATGAACACATCCATATCCCATCACACCTCGTCAACCTCAACACATCCATATCCCAACCCACCTCGTTGACATTAACACATCCATATCCCATCACACCACGTCAACATCAACCCATCCATATACCATCACCCCATGCCTAGATGAACACATCCATATCCCATCTCACCTCGTCAACCTCAACACATCCATATCCCAACACACCACGTTCACATCAACACATCCATATCCCATCACACCACGTCAACACGAAACCATCCATATCCCATCCCAGCATGTCATCAACCCATCCATATCCCATCTCACCTCGTCAACATCAACCCATCCATATCCCAACACACCTCGTTGACATCAACACATCAATATCCCATCCCAGCATGTCATCAACCCATCCATATCCCAACCCACCTGGTTGACATCAACACATCAATATCCCATCCCAGCATGTCATCAACCCATCCATATCCCAACCCACCTCGTTGACATCAACACATCAATATCCCATCCCAGCATGTCATCAACCCATCCATATCCCAACCCACCTCGTTGACATCAACACATCAATATCCCATCCCAGCATGTCATCAACCCATCCATATCCCAACCCACCTCGTTGACATCAACACATCAATATCCCATCCCAGCATGTCATCAACCCATCCATATCCCAACCCACCTGGTTGACATCAACACATCAATATCCCATCCCAGCATGTCATCAACCCATCCATATCCCAACCCACCTCGTTGACATCAACACATCAATATCCCATCCCAGCATGTCATCAACCCATCCATATCCCAACCCACCTCGTTGACATCAACACATCCATATCCCATCCCAGCATGTCATCAACCCATCCATATCCCAACCCACCTCGTTGACATCAACACATCAATATCCCATCCCAGCATGTCATCAACCCATTCATATCCCAACCCAGCATGTCATCAACCCATTCATATCCCAACCCACCTCGTTGACATCAACACATCAATATCCCATCCAAGCATGTCATCAACCCATCCATATCCCAACCCACCTCGTTGACATCAACACATCCATATCCCATCCCAGCATGTCATCAACACATCCATATCCCAACCCACCTCGTTGACATCAACACATCCATATCCCATCACAGCATGTCATCAACCCATCCATATCCCAACCCACCTCGTTGACATCAACACATCCATATCCCATCACAGCATGTCATCAACTCATCCATATCCCATCTCACCTCGTCAACATTAACACATCCATATCCCAACCCACCTCGTTGACATCAACACATCCATATCCCATCACAGCATGTCATCAACCCATCCATTCCGGACGATCATCAGTTTGCGGTGAACAAAGCAGAACGAGAACATGTTGATGATATAGACGGATTCAGCATGTACAATCGGCCCTGCCTTTAACATAGCATAGATAGTTACAGTGATATCACTATTAGATTGTAATCTCAGTGGTGACCACGACCTGTGTTTTTAATCATTGGTTTAGGGTTTCAGCACACAAATAGAAGTCAGCTGTTTCAAAGCAAATAAATAACTATCAATACTTTAATGAAGCAGCAGTTATGAGTGTATTTCTTACACAAAGGTATCTGTTATTCAGACTACATGCAACTTGCCTGTTGTTTAGAAGGTGTCTACGTGTGTTCAGAGCTTGGCATGACAACATCACATATATGTACAAGCCTAATACTGAATACAGCTGATGAAGGTATCTGCAATGTGTCATTGCTTAGTAGAAAATCAATCAAGACACGTCTACTTACTTGCCACAGGTCCCGTGAAGATCCGGGTTAGAATATTGATCTTTAGTAACCCATGCTTGTCGTAAGAGGCGACTAACGGGATCGGGTTGTCAGGCTCGCTGACTTGGTTGACACATGTCATTGGTTCCCAATTGCGCAGATCGATGCTCATGCCGTTGATCACTGGATTGTCTGGTCCAGACTCGATTAGTTACAGACCGCCGCCATATAGCTTGAATATTGCTGAGTGCGGCGTAAAACAAAACTCACTCACATTCACTCACTTGCCACTGTCATCTGGCAGCCAGGACAACAACAAACATGTGTACATGATGTCTACTTACTTGCCACAGTCATCTGGCAGCTAGGAGGATCGGGCATATCGCCATCACTGCTACATTTCCAGGCGCCAGCGTATGACTTCAACAAGGCAGGTATGGTGAGAACACTGGAGGTGGTATTGTGGACAGACGCTGTGAAGATGCCAGTGGTTATGCATTTCCCAGTTGATGTGTTACATGATGCTGCTGTGTGTTCTTTGGGTGTTAGGAAGGAGTGGCTTCTACTTGCTTCTATGCAGGTCAGGTTTGTGGGAGCTCCAAGCAGACCGATTTCTGGACACAATATCCTTCCCTCCACCGCAACTGCTGGTGTCAGTGAAAGTAAATAGACATATGTCGGTTAAAGGAAACATTATCCTCCTTGGCAGTATATGCATTTAGTTATATTAGAATATTAACGATTAGTTAATTTGTCATGACTAATGTCAAATATCAAAAGTGCTTTTCAAAGGAATAGATTTGCTGGAGTGTCAAGCAGCCATGAATACACAATGGTATTTAGAAAGTGGTGAAATGTAACATATGCTATGTTTGGGATTACGCTTTCTCAGTAAAGTACAGATTCTTATATTTTTGTTTGTGTGAGTCCTATCCCGGATTCGAACCCATACGCTCAAAGCCAGGCACCTGATCGCCAGCACACAAAGTCTGCCGCACAACCCGCTCACCCACTGCGGCTTCTCAAGCAGACAGTTTCAGGACACAATATCCTTCCCTCATCAGTACGTCAGTGGTGTCAGAGAAAGTATAATACTTTATTGGTTTTAGGAAACATTAATGTCCTTTGTCAAATAAACTCGCGGGCGAAAGAAACGTCGCCTTGCTTTTTTAACAGGTCACAAAACAACAAACTCAGATTTTGGAAATTTAACAATCATATGTGAAAGATTAATGGATTGACAACATTCTGAATGATAAAAGCGTGAACTACAGATATGAATAATCACTACGTGTACGATACAAGATTTAAAAAAATCATTTTGGAGACGTTTTTTTCTCCCGTAAGGTTACATAATCTTTATGAGCTGCATGATGAAACACACACTGGTACAGACAACATACCAGTCACAAGAAGCACAAAGGTAATGGCGCCCATCACTGGTACAGACAACGTACCAGTCACAAGAAGCACAAAGGTAATGGCGCCCATCACTGGTACAGACAACATACCAGTCACAAGAAGCACAAGGGTAATGGCGCCCATCACTGGTACAGACAACGTACCAGTCACAAGAAGCACAAGGGTAATGGCGCCCATCACTGGTACAGACAACATACCAGTCACAAGAAGCACAAAGGTAATGGCGCCCATCACTGGTACAGACAACATACCAGTCACAAGAAGCACAAGGGTAATCACGCCCATCACTGGTGCAGAGGCTCTGTTCAGTAAGTAGCCTGTAAGTAAAGAGTAACGAATGATAGGGCTATTCATATCTATAGCCACAATCAATTCAAGCAGACAAGGGGCGGTGGGGTAGCTTAATGGTTAAAGTGCCCCTCGTCACGCTGAAACCCGTTTTTGATTCCCCCCACATGGGTAAAATGTGCCAAGATCACTTGTGGTGTCCCCAGCCGTGATATTGCTGGAATAGTGCTGAAAGTGGTGTAAAACTACACACTCACTCACTCACAAGCAAATAAAAAACTAACGTTTAGACCTTCTAAACTCCAAAGGGCTGTTCTGTTAATGTTTGTTTCATACGCGATGTTAGGTCTTTGAATGGCATTTATAAGTTATACACATAAGGAAGAGAGTTTAATGCATGTTAACTTCTTTATTATGAGGAACACAAAGTTTCGGAGTATATCCTTACTCCTCGTATGTGTGAGTGAGTGAGTGAGTGAGTTAAAGTTACATCGGTAATATTTCAGCCATCAATATCGTGACTAAACCTAGTTAAAAATTCATAATACATACATGTAATACATAAAATCCTGTCAACGACGGACAGTAAAATTACTAGATTATCTCAAAATGAGTTAAATCTAGCTAGCATACATGTTTAAAAGGAGAAACTTCTTTTTGGACAATACAATGTAAAAATGGGCTATTGATCGCCAACAACTGAAGGAAGATCACCATACTAGGGACTACTCCTTGTATGATACAATTCTCTTTGTTATGTGAGAAGTTCTAGTTACTCTTCTCGGTAACACAACTAATAATAATATCCCGGTGTCAGGGGTATTTGACGATGTAAGACAAAAAGGTAATTTTCATGTTTAATATCATGTAAAGTTTTTAGTTAACTAACATTGAGTGATAAAGGATATATTCATCTATTTCACACAAAAATATTAAGTGTTTCCTACAAAATTAGCGTTATGACATCCTATCGGCGAAACCGTTGCTGCTCTCAACATCCGGGGATTTCGGGTTTTCGACGATGAGCCATAATACTTTTCTCTCCGCACTGCGAGGGGGTGTTGTGATCACATGGCTTCTTATTTGATACTAGCAGACGACCGATTTCACTGAATGTTTGCTTGCTATTTCTTGTTATATAGGCAGCTGATTTTGCATCAGAAGTGGTATTAACGATCACAGGTAAATAATTTTGATGTTTGTATACTCTTTATATAACTTCCGGATTCTAATCGTCAATAAACGTTCTCACGACAGCCACTGGTCATCCGCCCTACCGATGAAATTGCTTGTGCACTCCGATCGCGCACGTACTGCCCCGATATAGCGCGATCAATGCAATCGTCGAAATCACCAGAACGTCGAATTGAGCTCGTTTTGGGATAATACAGTAGATTGTATGGTGGCTCATTCGGGCCATCGCTTTATTACCCTGAAAAAATCGTACTATGGCTTTGTCGCGATGTCGCCTAGATTTTTTGAGGGCGATAAAGCGATGGCCCGAATAAGCCACCATCAGATTTGTTATGCGCGAAAACTCCAGACACTTAGTGCCTGCTCATAGCCCTACACAAAACAGTAGAGGTGCTATAGTTTCACTGGTAAATAAATCTAAATAGAACTTTTGGAAGAGATATGTCTTTAGGCAGATTTTAAAGATTGTCAGTGATTGGGATTTCTTTATTCCCAACGGGAGATCGTTCCACAGAGTCGGGGCCATGTGAGCAAATGATCTCCGTCCATAGTTTTTGGACTACAAGTACTACAGGTAAAATGTCTGGTGGGAGTTCCGATGGGATGTCCACCCGTGAAGGTCCGGGTTAGAATATTGATCTTTAGTAACCCATGCTTGCCGTAAGAGGCGACTGACGGGATCGGGCGGTCAGGCTCGCTGACTTGGTTGGCACGTGTCATCGGTTCCCAATTGCGCAGATCGATGTTCATGCTGTTGATCACTGGATCGTCTGGTCCGGACTCGATTATTTACAGACCGCCGCCATATAACTGGAATATTGCTGAGTGCGACGTAAAACTAAACTCACTCACTCACTCCGATGAGTTGTCGGTTTCCTCACAATGGAGACTTTATTTCTAGCGTATTCATAATGAGATCTCAACGAAAAGTCATCAATTCATTTCAAATATTGACTACACTATTATGCATGATATCAGATTGCATCGGCCAGATTCGAGTGACACCAGTTATCTGGAATATGGGGCATAGTTCATTTGTCGGTTTGTTTAACATTGCATGCAGCAATGTTCAATTTTCATCAGGGCAGTATAAGTTACAGTGAATGTGTCAAATCACTGGATTCAGGGATTTTATGGTTTCACAAAATTCCTAGGGATTTTACAAAATCCCTCAAAATCACGGCAATTGTTTTTGACATATTCCCTGAAATGAATATAGCGCATTTTCAGTGTTTGTATTGACAATACTGCTTGTAATAAGTAGAGACAAAAACGTGTCAAAAAATCATAAGAAAAATAACCTTAAAAGATTTAAAATAGTTGCATAAATATTTAAAAAAAATATATCAACTAATTTGACATATTCACAGTAACATATAGATAACTGTTTCTGGGTGAAACAGTCCACTGACAGATATTGTGTACAGGCCGTCATGGTATGATGGTATGCAACAATCCACATCTGGCCACCATTATGTTGACTCTTAAGAACAGCCAACATGTTACTTTGAACGAGTTCTAACCCAAATCCAAACGATGTTTGAATACACTGTTGCCAATTAAGTTAACATAAACACATTGCTACCTGAAAACAGAAACGCACCTTACAAACCCAACGTTTTGTAGAAAAACGTACGGATGCACAAGGCTGGAAGCACAACAATTGATAATGCAGATAACCTGAGGGTCGGTCAAACCTCGTCTATATTCTATACATTCTATATTCAATTAGTCTATAGCCTATATTCTCGATGTCCAATTTTTGAAAAGCTTCCATTTAATCTTGAAGGAATCATTAGTAAAGCCATATCCAAAATTTCACAGATGTGGGTAATGTGGTTAACCAGATATTAGTCATCACAACACATTGGGTATAATATTTCTAAACCAGTTGCAGAAAGTAAAAAACGATTTGTCATTTTGTACCTCTTGGGTAATGGTATGCCCTCATATTATATCATATAAATTATGTTCAGTATAGTATTGGATGACTTCCAGTCATAATCAACAGTCAAACATTTGAATTGCTTGATATATATTCAGACCGGGGTTGTTTTTAAGGACACCCGATGTTAGTCTTTCAAACACATTGTGTCCAGATATTCAAGCTGGAGTTGTTTACAATGTACTGAGAGCTGACACTTGTGTGACCATTCAGTATTTAGTTTGAACCCTTGGCATCATGTATGAATAAGTAAAAGGATTAAAATAAGGGGAGTGGCTAGTGTTTACAATATATGGAGAGCTGACACTTGTGTGACCATTCAGTATTTAGTTTGAACCCTTGGCATCATGTATGAATAAGTGAAAACGTTAGAATAAGTTATGTCCTTATGATTTGATCATCTGAAGGAAGGATGGGTAGTGTCTCCAAAACAAGCTCTTTCAGCAAACATGAAGGGGGAGTAGGTTTAACATGCGATTTTAACTACGAATTGTTTTTAATGCACTTTAATATCTAAGTTTGAGTCTATCGGATTTCTACCTATCTCAAACACACAAAATGGTCTTTGCATATTTTCTTTCATGAAGTTTGTGGTGCATTTATTGCAGATATTGCGTTTGGGGTGGGGGTGGGGGGAGCGGGGGGATAGTACAAAGATAAAAAACTCAAACAAATGGGGATCGTGAGGCTGGAACAATGCATAAACAAATTTGCTTAAGATTACCAGAAATATGCAGAAAAATATAACATAAAAATAGCTGCATTTGTCTCATTTTCTAGGTGAGGCCGACTACGTTTTGACCGACACTCGTAACTAATATCCCTGTAGTGAAAGTTTATCTTTACAATTATTCAAACAAAACGACAATTTAAGCATTTATGATAAATCAATAATTAACGGAATCATATACGTCCTAAACATACTAGTACTTACTTTACCAATTCGAAGAGCTGATCTGATTAACTCCAAGTGACCTCAAGCGCATGATCTGTCCCAAATAAGCATGAAAAAGGCTTTCACTGGTGTAGGGTCCCAAACCCTCCAACATACAGCCCACAAATTATCTGATTGAAATACTTCCTCCTTCCCGTTTTTTTATGTGTTTGTCGTCACACAGGAAATTTCATGTGTTATATCTGGGCTATGTGTTATATCTGGGCTATGTGTTATATCTGGGCTATATGTTATATCTGGGCTATGTGTTATATCTGGGCTATGTGTTACATCTGGGCTATGTGTTATATCTGACTATGTGTTATATCTGGGCTATGTGTTATATCTGGGCTATACGTTATATCTGGGCTGTGTGTTATATCTGGGCTATGTGTTATATCTGGGCTATGGCTATAGGTTATATCTGGGCTATGTGTTATATCTGGACTATGTGTTATGTCTGGACTATGTGTTATATCTGGCTGTGTGTTATATCTGGGCTATACGTTATATCTGGGCTGTGTGTTATATCTGACTATGTGTTATATCTGGGCTATGTGTTATATCTGGGCTATACGTTATATCTGGGCTGTGTGTTATATCTGGGCTATGTGTTATATCTGGGCTATGGCTATAGGTTATATCTGGGCTATGTGTTATATCTGGACTATGTGTTATGTCTGGACTATGTGTTATATCTGGCTGTGTGTTATATCTGGGCTATGTGTTATATCTGGGCTATAGGTTATATCTGGGCTATGTGTTATATCTGGGCTATGTGTTATATCTGGCTGTGTGTTATATCTGGGCTATGTGTTATATCTGGGCTATGTGTCATATCTGGGCTATATGTTATATCTAGGCTATGTGTTATATCTGGGCTATGGCTATAGGTTATATCTGGGCTATGTGTTATATCTGGACTATGTGTTATGTCTGGACTATGTGTTATATCTGGCTGTGTGTTATATCTGGGCTATGTGTTATATCTGGGCTATGTGTCATATCTGGGCTATATGTTATATCTGGGCTATGTGTTATATATGGGCTATGTGTTATGTCTGGACTATGTGTTATATCTGGCTGTGTGTTATGTCTGGGCTATGTGTTATATCTGGGCTATATGTTATATCTGGGCTATGTGTTATATCTGGGCTATGGCTATAGGTTATATCTGGGCTATGTGTTATATCTGGACTATGTGTTATGTCTGGGCTATGTGTTATATCTGGCTGTGTGTTATATCTGGGCTATGTGTTATATCTGGGCTATGTGTCATATCTGGGCTATATGTTATATCTGGGCTATGTGTTATATCTGGGCTGTGTGTTATATCTAGTAATTTTGGGATTGAGTCTCATATGGGTTTCGAACGTGCATATGGCAAGAAGCCGACTTGTTGATTTCCTCTTAAGGATTCTGTTATACTGTGTATCAATATTGAAGACTGTGTTTTTTTAACTCTAAATCAGTTTATTAGGATTAGCCATGTTAAAAGATCGCCGGTGAACACTGAACAATTGGTGTAGTGTATTAACATCATGTATAATTATCGTACATGTATTGAGTGTGTGGGTTTAGTTTTACGCCGCCTTTAGCAATATTCCAGCAATATCACGGCGGGGGACACCAGAAATGGCCTTCACTCATTGTACCCATGTGGGGAATCGAACCCGGGTCTTCGGCGTGATGAGCGAATGCTTTAACCATTAGGCTACCCTACCGCCCCCGCATATGTATTGAATACACAATGCCATTTAGAAAGTGGTCAAATGTATCATATGATATTCTTGGGAATATATTGTCTCAGTACAGATTCTTGTACTTTTGTTGGGTTGAGTCCCAACCGGGATTCGAACTCACCCTCTCAGATTCTGGCATCGACATCACACAAAATCAGCTGTCTAACTTAACATGCATTGTATGTATTTTAGTGAGGGAGTCAAATGAATTTTCGAGAAAATGTTGGGTTTGGTTTCACACAATAGTTGTGTATGTCTCGTGAGGACATAGAAACCTGATAACCTGATATATACCCGGACCTGATACAGAGCCTTTATAAAAAGAAATAAGAATATTTAACATTTGTAAATAGCATATTTAATGCAAATAAACACTCAGTCTTGAATTTCCTCAGATATAAATCCCGTTTGACGTAAAAGCAAAACTAGTTGTGAAACTTTTATGAAAATATAAAAAAATCAGTGATGACGTCATGTTTCTGAGAAAATGGTAAACATCTTCATTCACAAAAACCTTAGCACCAATATCTGTCTGTAAATAATCGGATCTGGACCAGACAACCCAGTGATCAACAGCATGATCATCGATCTGCGCAGTGGGGAACCGATGACATGTGTCAACCAAGTCAGCGAGCCTGACCACCCGATCCCGTTCATCGGCTCGTACGACAAGCACGGGTTACTGAAGATCAATTTTAACCCAGACCTTCACTGGTTTAAAGCTACTGATGGAGGGATAAACTACGACGTTGATCAAACCATAAACTCCTCAACCACATTATTTGTATTTCCGCTCAATCCTTCCTACAATGCTAATTCCCTAAATGCTAATATGAATGATGGTAAGCCACTCGAAGTTACCCAACAACGATTCTGTTCCATAACACGACCCAGTAGCCATCGTCCATGAACCTGACTCAGATATGATCCTGTTCCTGAATGCGACCCAGTAGCCACTGTCCATGAACCTGACTCAGATATGATCCTGTTCCATAACACGACCCAGCTGCCACCGTCTTCTCTTCTTTGTCTCGTTTTTATTTTCTTTAACATTCAAAAACATATGCTCCCGATTGTCTTTTCAAAACATTTCTTTCAACACGAGGCCATGAATGTTTAAAGCTCCGAGCTTGAAAATGCTCTCAGTGAGTGTCAGTATATACTGTTCACACTTTGCTAAGGATCAAATCATGGATTCAACAGACAACTATCATGTGGGGTCAAATTTGGTTTAAATATCTAAGCTTATTGGAAGCATGGACCCTAGGTTTCAGTATGCCCTTTCATCTTGTGGAACCCATACCTGCTATTGACAGGTTTTGTGTACTTGTCAATGACTCGTTCCATGATTTGGTGTGTGTACTTGTCAATGACTCGTTCCATGATTTGCAAAATAGTTGATTGGGCCAATGAAAACCATTTTTATGGTTACTCATGTATCAAGTGCATAAGGTTAGATTAAAGTTACTGATTGCCTGAAGGGTGAGTAAGTGAGTATGGTTTTACGCCGCTTTTAGCAATATTCAAGCAATATCACGGCGGGGGACACCAGAAATGGGATTCACACAATGTACCCATGTGGGGAATCGAGCCCGGGTTTTCGGCGTGACGAGCAAACGCTTTAACCACTAGGCTACCCTACCGCCCCGATTGCCTAAAGAGGGAAGCCACTTTGTAAACATAAACAGATATTTTGTCTTTCTTCTACAGAGGCTCCACTGCTTTGATGCCTATCTTGTATTGTCCTGCAGAGTTTGACATTGCCAGTTTAAAACTCGCTCTGAAAACCACTTTGCGGTCACTTAGCTACTTCGTTGTAGATTGACGCCTAAGTAGATATGTCTATAATGGTTGCTAATTTTGATATACATTTTTTATGTGATGACTATCAGTATTTTGTTAATATCACATGAGAGTGCGTCAAGACAGATGAGTTCACGATAGCACATATCAAGCTTGTGGATCATTGAAATGCTGTAGATTCTTGTCAGGGAAAGAGGTATGCATTTCACACTGATTGTGTCTAATGTGGTTTGTAGGAAGAAGGTGTTCACAATAAAAGACAACTTTGAACAGGAACAAGAAGATAATGACATAAGTAGCGGTGGACGATAATACCGGTTAACCGGTATATTGCAATTCGAACTTCACAACACGATATATTGCGGTACATGTTTCGCGAACCGGTTCACCCGATAAGATCGGCAATCTCCGTGACCTTGATCGGTAATTCTCGTAAAATAGTCAAATATACTAATAACATTTATATCTCCTTTATATTATTATATCTTAAATATTTTGAGATGTTTATTGGTCATATAATTGCATTTGCGTGGCTTTTAAACCATACAAATAATTAAAAATAGATTGGAACCAGCATTCACTGTAGGGATAAACCAACCCATGTGCCAGACGCTGCTGAAGACGCTGCTGAAGACGCTTTTTCTCGAGTTCCAAACTTTAGTGCGAAGTCTTCAATTTTGATCTCTTGTACAATCACATCTGAGTCCTGACAGTGGCCAGTGGCATTGTTTCAAAAGAAAGTAAAGGACATTTCATGATCTTAGCCCATGTGTTACACTTTCACGATATATTGCAATACATATTGCAATCCGCCAACACATATCACAGTATATCGCAATACAAAACATTTGGCAATACCCAACCCTGGACATAAGCAAATGTAATTTTAGTGACAAGTCACGAGCGTTCAGTACTGCTGTGCATTGAAACTATAATGTTCAGGTACACTCGTGTACTGATAATACTTGTGTTCTGTTACGGCCGTTTACTGATACTCAACAGATCTGCTGATTCTGGAGTGTATCTTCACGGAGAGGACTGTGAGACTTCAGGGGTGTCTGTTGACACAGATACTGCTGGACACTGATACTATAATGTCCAGGTACACGTGTGTACTAAAATGCATGTGTGCTCATACTGTTGTGCATGGAAGCGACAATGAGTAAGTGAGTATGGTTTTACGCCGCTTTTAGCAATATTCCAGCATCACGGCGACGGACTCCAGAAATGGGCTTCACACATTGTACCCTTTTGCGGAATCGAACCCGGGTCTACAAAAGCATAAGATAAGGAGAATCGGGGCTTTCTGTGGTATAAACTACTGTAAACTATCTGTGGTATAAACTACTGTAAACTATCTGTGGTAAAAGCTACTGTAAACTATCTGTGGTATAAACTACTGTAAACTATCTGTGGTATAAACTACTGTAAACTATCTGTGGTATAAACTACTGTAAACTATCTGTGGTATAAACTACTGTAAACTATCTGTGGTATAAACTACTGTAAACTATCTGTGGTATAAACTACTGTAAACTATCTGTGGTATAA